ATCTCTAGATTACCTAATCCACGAGCTTGGCCATAGGTCTCCTTTGATTAATATCTCCTTGTCCTGTAACAACAGCATACCAAGTTTCATCGGAAATCTATGGCGGGTTCTTTTACTAGGGAATCACCTTAACGTTATCGTGTTTCTTAGTGAAACATGCACTTTTACAAATTGAGGGCTTTCCTTTTTCACCTATCAGACCAGATTTTTTTAAATATCCTATTACATGTGGTCTCTATTGTTGAAATGATTTTGTCTTTGGTAATTGCAGAATTTGTATGGAATGAATAATGTATCTGTGGTGGCCACATTGCTGGTTGTTGTCTTTTTTCAAGTTGGTCCAGGTACAAATCTAAGATGAGTATGATATATATACGTTATTGGCCGGCTGGGAGACCCGTATGGTGAAAAACTGTGACCGAGGTCTTGAAAATGCTGCCCGGGCCGCATTTTCAAGCCCGAGGTCACAGTTTTTCACTATACGGACCGACCTAAGCCGGACAATAACATGTTTATCTTTTTTTCTTGGGGTGAATTGTCTTACAAGTGGGTTTGTTTACGCAACTTTGTCATTGAATTGGCTTACGCGCCGTCTACAAACCATATGTAAAAAATCTAATGAGTGAGTAACTCAGATACTAGACAAGGAAAGATGTATTAAAGAACAGATTTATTTCGCACTACTTTATGTTAGTTGCATTTAGTTCACCAAACACTTTCTCCGAAAGTGTTTTTACGGTGTGAAGTTTCGTGCAAAGATTGAAGTTGTACTACAAAAACAATTTCTGTCAGTTGTTGCGAATCACTCAGAGTTTTCTACCGTAAACTGAGCAGCAGATAGCGAGGAAATTCGTTTAGTGTGTTCCACAGAAATTCTCTCAAATACAGCAACGATCAGAGAGGTGAACTCACTGAAATTGACTCATTTTTTACTTAAAATTGTACAGAGAGAGACGCACAGGATTTCGCGCCATTACAGCGCCGATCACCGAGCTACAAACAGCCAAACAAACTATTACAACTTCAAAAAACTCAATTGAATTTACTTACGTACAGTGACTTTCCTTGCCATTTAAAGGTCAATAGAGATAAACTTGCGTTGATAAATCGTCGATGGAAGTGTAAAAAGGGCGAAAGATTGACGATTACCGTTAATTTGTTCACGAAAATAGATCAACTCAATGGATTCCGCCCGCTGTGGCGGTCCGGATGAGAAAATTCCGCCCGCTCCAGGAACCAATCAAATTGCAGGATTTGTTGAATTTCGCACGCTCACGAGCTGAGAAAAAGATAAATAGCAATATTACTATCATTTTTGTGTTACAATTCAGAGAACAACTAGCGGAAAAAACATAGAAATTTTTCCCAACTATGGTACATCAGGGACCTTAAAATACGAGGACGGGAAGGCCAGGATGGGAACGGCTGTGGACGCGGGAAACTTTCGCGGGTCCCGTTGTGTCACCAAAGACAAAATGCTTAAGATGTGCACTTTCGTAAAGGACAGCGACGTCAATAACTTGAGCTTCGTAAAAGCTATTCACAAAAGCAATAACTTCCTGTAGGCTAAAGAGATGGTAAAGAAATCCGAGTCTTATCCTATTAAGCTTAAACGATGGTGAGCAGACGATGCTGAATTTATACTTCTTTATAAGCGAAGCAAATATCTCTGTAAGTATTAAAATGTAATAAAGAAACCAGAATTTTCATACGAGAATATTAAATGAACAATCAGATCGACCTGCTTCAGATGGTTTTTACCACCGAGCGTTTGAGAATCCTGTTTCCGGAGAATCCTGACATTGAGTGAACATTTCAATTTCCATCTGTAATTGTGACAAGCTTTTGAAGCATTACAAAAATAAAGCAAATATTACATCAAGTTTCGGGTAGTTGAAGCAGCAACAACAACTAAACATCAGTTTGAAAATTTGCATTTTTGTTTGCTCGATAGATGCTTTCATGGCACTCATTCTTACAACGTTTTATCGACTGTACTTACGCTGATGTATTCTCAATGCACACAGTTTGTATTTCATTTTGAGCTTCCATAAAGTTGACAGTGACTGAACAGTGACTGAAATACAAATGAACAGACAATGAATATTTTTAATCACATCTTTTTTGTATTTCAGCGTACTATTTCTACACTACAATCACGAAAGACGTAAAGCCAATAAACATTCTCATCAATATAACTGAAAATAAGGTCGACTGGACCATTTGCAAGGGCAAAACAAGAGCAAAATACTCACGTTTTCGATACGAAGTCAAGTCGGGCGAAATGGCCCTCGACGAGACGACAAAGGCAGAGAAATGAGTCGAGAGTTCTCGTGCGCATGCCCGGTTGGGTAAATTTACTTCTGGTAGCCGTCCTAGCTTGTCCCGCCCTGACATCTTAAGGTCCCTAATGTCAAAATGAGAAATGTTCATTATATTTATCTGAGCGCACTGTTGTATACTTATTTGAGTGGGTTGATTTCTTTCATAATATTATAACAGATATATTGTTGACTACTGTAGTTGTGACGGTCAAAATATTTTTAGTTTTCATTTGGAGGCTTTGTCTTGTTATCTCATTGTATCTTCTATTTTAGGTGCAATTCCCTGGTTTATAACAGCTGAACTCTTCTCTCAAAGCTCCAGGGCTGCTGCTGTTAGTATAGCAGGCGTTGCTAACTGGCTGTCAAACTTTGTGGTTGGACTTGTATTTCCATCATTGCAGGTAATTTCATTATTGAAACCTAACCATGTGGTGTAAAGATCAGCATTGGAACCCGGGTATTCCTTTCTGTTGTTGGTTTTGTTTTGATATTTTGAATGCGTTTTAGAGCAAATGCACAGAAAAATCGAGCAAGATTCGAAAATCGCGGCCATGGTCAAAAATGAAACCAGTCTTAATGAGCCCCTCCCAGGGGTTTTAGGGAACATGGGAACAAGAGCATTTACTTTTAGGGAACAGGGGATACTGTCAAATTATTTTCAGGAAGCAAGGGAACTCTTGACTAGATTGTTGGGATCAAGGGAACACTAAAATCGACCTATAACTTTTTTTTTAACTTTCTGAGCCCCTACAATAAAATATCACGTCATTATAACCTAGGAGTCGTAGGTCCCTTTTCACTTGAGTGTCATTTTGGGAATGTTTGTTTCTGCCATGTGACAGAAAAATATGTTGAGAATGTTACAGCTGATCATGACACAGTTCGATCGAAGTAATCACAGTTGTACCAATTACTGCATGGAGCAATTTATTACAATGGGCAAAACCGTACGGAGAGATGGAGCTTTGAACTTGCGTATCTGGAGATAAGCTTATTGGTACCACAGCTGAGACACAAGGCCCTCAAGGAACTTTTTCATCGGTTGCGATGGGAGAAGAAAAAAGGGTTATCTTACGAACAACCTGACCGTGTTGAAATCGAGCTTTTTTTATACCAGAGTTTATACTTTGTTTTGTGGTTGGAACTACAGGCCGTTCTATCCAGTTCTAAAAGGCAAATCTGAGTTCTGGGAGATATGAGACGGACACAGGGGAAGGAAATCATTGTAATTAATCAAACCTATTTCGTATGAAAGTAGAATAATCTCTGGTCTCCTTGAAAGTAGTCATTTTTGTAAAGACACGTAGAGACTGCACATACCGTTGCCGTACAGCAAAATCTTAATCATTTGAGTTTGGCAAGTAAAACACTGTCGTCAACCTAGTCCCTCACGGCCAAAGTAGCCGTAGTAGCATCTCGCCGTAGCGTATCTTAAAGTCCTTATTACTTTTAACTGCTGCGGTCCAGATTTGGTAAGGATCAGTTCATTGGGTCAAGGGTCACGACTTAAAGTCACGGTAACGTCAGTCCGTGACGCTCCTTGATCATAATCGGCTGTAACGCACAGCGATTACAAGATCACGATTACAATTCAATCAGTCAGTCAGTC